TGCCGCTCGCCACNCTTCAGCCACCGCCGCCCGCCCGCACCGGTGGGCGAGGCGGCGCCCCACGCGCCTGGCTTCACCGCCGTTTCGCCGCCCGAAGACCCCGCCCGACGGACACACCAGCGCCGTCTTGGCGCCTACGCTGGCGTTTCGCAAGGTCGAAAAGGGGGCTCCGCGAGCTCAAACTTGTGGCTCCGCATCCGCCGGATCCCCCGCTGCTTTTTCGGGGGCGGCGCCCCTCGCGCGCGCCCAGCGAGGAGGCAGAGCGAGGCACGGGCGAAGAAGCGCGGCAGGTTGAAGGTGCTAAAATGGGAAACAATGGCAGCACCGCACCTGGGCGGCGGCTGCGCAGAAACTTTTCCTGCCTGGCGCGCCTTTCTGGGCCACGCGCCGGCTCCACGCCACAGCGACCGACCGGCAACAGACTACGCGCGCCCCCTTTTTTTTTGTTGTCGGTGACGCCGCTGAGTCAGGAGGAAGCGCCCTACTGAGGCGAAGGGGCTGGGAAACGCCCGCTGTTGTGGGGCGGGCGCGGTGGGTACGAGGTGCCGGCGAAACGGTGCTTCCGTCCCGCCGCAGACGCCAGGCGATGGATTTAAAGCAGCACGCCCGGCTTGCCCCCCGCCACCCCCGTTTCGACGATACTGCGCCGGGTGCGGGGGCCTAGCTTCCCATACCCTGCCGGAATAAAAGCCGTGCGGCAGAGGCGGCGCGCGAGGGGGGTGCGGGGTGGGGTTCGCGCGCCGCCAGGCGTAGGCCGCAGCGTGGGGGGCGCGAGATACACGCAGAGAGCGCCAACCCCCAAAAGAAAGAGGGACCAACAGGAAGCAGCGCACTGCGTGTGGCAAACGGTTGCCCCTCATCAAATTGCTTAAGCCCCACTGTTGGTATTTTAGTAAAAGGAAAGAGACGCGGTTTCCCGGCATTGTGTTCTGTCTTTGGGAGCGCCTAGTAGGGGGCGAAGCGGGGGAAGTCGGGGGCGTGCGAAATTTACTTTTCACGGAAGTTATGGCGGGGCATATTCTAGAATTGGAAAGGTTTTGCCTTACAGCAGCGCCCCAATACAGGAAAAGGGGCGAAACTCCCATTAAACACGGCAAGCGCGGGCCCCGCATGCCAGGCGACCCGTTCTCCCTTTTAGCTTCTTCGTTTTTTTTGATTTTTTATGTGCAGATTCTTGTCGCATAATTTTGTTGATTTGTTGATTCATACGGCGTGGCGCCGGCGGTGGAACACGGCGCCTAAACGTCTGGCGCGCGCAGGCGCACCGAAGCGCAAGCGTAAGCTTTGTATGCCGCGCCGGGGCGGTCTTCATGCAAGGTGCTGGGGGCGTTTTTTTTTTGCGCCCCATTCATTAAGGGCAGAAGTGTTACACAGTGCTGGCTGGTGTGCGGGCTGTCGGCTCGATCTGAAAAGCTGGTGGAAAAGCAAGCGAACAAACAAACGCGCCATTTCACCCGACGTAGCGCGGGGCGCGTGCGGGAAGAAAGTGTGCTCGCTTGAGGCGCCACCCTCTATAGTACCCCACCCCCCCCACGTGTTTTTTTTAAAAAAAGCCAACGAGCGCCAAGGGAGCCGGCAGCGCGCGGCTTCACAAGGGGAAGGCCCTCAGCGCCTTCAAGAGCCGCCCCCTATGAGAAACGCACCCCCCCCACCGTAACTGCGCAGCCCCTCCTTTCGAAAACCCTCTGCCACACAGCGCTGCGAACGTTATGGGAAAGCATTGCGACGGAGACGCTCGGTGTGAAAGTGGTATGCTGCGCTTGTTCATCGTCGCGGAGGCGCGCCGCCCGCCCGCGCAGCTATTTCCGCGCGCGTGCTTTTCGGGCGAGGCTGGTGCGGAGCTTTGGGGCTGCTTCTCGCCGCTCGTGGTTGTGGGTTTCTGTGGCGGTGAATTTGGGTACGCATTCGTAGTGGCTATGCAGCTGTCGCTTGAATAGGGCCGTTTCGGGTTTAGAGGCCATCCCCTTCGGAGCGGGCCTGCCCAAAAGGAATGGCGACGCAGATTTCTTAATGTCGTTTTTGGGCTTCTATTTTTGCTCCAAAACCTAACATTTTTTGCGCAACGAAAAGAAAAAAACCTATTACTTGGAAAAAAGTCCGCCAGAAGCTTCGCCAGCCGCGCCGTTCGGGCGCTCGCGGGAAAGCCAGGCTGTTAGCAAGGAGCTCGTGAGGTTGCCAAGCGCCCTTGGGAAAGCGCCGCAAGAGGCAAGAGCAAGATTGAGCTGACCCGCAG